GAGAGAGAGAGAGAGAGAGAGAGAGAGAGAGAGAGAGAGAGAGAGAGAGAGAGAGAAGAGAGAGAGAGAGAAGAGACAGAGAGAGAGACAGAGAGAGGAGAGAGAGAGAGAGAGAGAGAGAGAGAGAGAGAGAGAGAGAAGAGAGAGAGAGAGAGAGAGAGAGAGACAGAGAGAGAGAGGAGAGAGAGAGAGACAGAGAGAGAGAGAGAGAGAGAGAGAGAGAGAGAGAGAGGAGAGAGAGAGAGAGAGAGAGAGAGAAGAGAGAGAGAGAGAGAGAGAGAGAGAGAGATTCATCATGCTGGCCCAGCCTCCCACCAATAACATACATGAAAAGCCATTCATTTATCAATAGTCTTTTTTAACTACTTCTGTCACCCAGAAGGGATACAGAGACTTATTTCTGTAAGTGTGCCATTTATATATCCATTATATCATAATCTTCTCATGACAATACATAAGCTTACAAGTTAAGATAAACTTACCGAGTATGAACCTGGTCAATGTTAAGCGGTGTTACTGTTGGTAGATGGGATAAGACTTTCCTCATGATGACAATTCAATGAATCCACATTATCTGCAAAATTTGTAGAGATTAAACTAACAACTCAATACTTACAACCAGGGCCAAAAAAGTGTACTTCAGTTTACGGGGACCGTCCCTGAGAGAGGGGGGGGAAGGGGGTCAAATTGAGTTAGTTAGCGTTTAGTATAGGTACATGGATGAGGAAACTACCAAACGAGTATTAAGCGCCTGCTATGGCTCGTTGTCTTGCAGCCGGCGTGCGAGTCCCTCAGAACCCAGAGAGGTACGTCGTTAATGAGAGCCCAGGTAAACCTATGTGGACTTTTGCTTGCGGCAATCGTGCATAAGGCATTTAATTATGACATTGCACATAGATATGAGTTCATGAATGTTCAAGGAACACTTTTATACCAATATCGGGAAAAAATTATATCACCGTGATTTATGATGAAATATTTTGTGAGATATATCTAAAAAAAATGTAAGTTTTGTGTCCTTTTACACACAAAATATGCTTTGATCGAGACTCCCTGGTAATATGTTTTAGTTTACGAGGTAATATGTACGTATCACATACGAAGCACTAATGTTTAAAAATAGCCTTATAAGGAAGGATTGAAATATTTCCGTTACATTTCGCTCAACGGTTGGTACATCACAGCAGGGGGTAATTTGAATTAATTTGAAATTGGTAGTTACCGTTGTAAAGACCAATTCAATACAAATGTTACCTAAATGTCAGATTTTTAAACTTCGGATGTATAAGCGAGATACAGATTATTTCATGTTGAAGATGATAGTACTCAGTAATACCTGTTCTGAAATAAAAGCTATATGGAATTTTGAGCTCGGTTGTATGCGCAGTCTTTGTCTGGCGTTCAAAAAGCTATCGCATCCATTTCGTGCGTTCCCGATAAAAATTAATATGTTTAGACATTACCGTAAGTCTTAGGCACCATAAATTGGCAAATATCCCACAATACCTAGGCGTCTGCATGATTTTATGCACTTCTTAGTAAAGATAATGGGTGCAAATGGCTAATCATAAACTATACACTTGTTCTCCTTTGCAATCTGTTAATATTGACAATTATCAAAGAAAATGGTATGAGAGGGATAACTAATATATTTTAATATTTAGATATGAAAATCAATGTAGGCCTACTAAATTATGATGATTCATCTTTTTAACTTTATGTGCGTGCATTCATGTACATATGACCCTCCTCGAAAATTATAAACACCCAGTGACCATCTCCCCCCCCCCCCCCCCGTGTGTGAGGCATGGGAAATATTCAATGACTTTCGTAAGTTCTCGAATTCAATGTACTAAATTCATATGCTTTTGAAATTCTCAAAATTGAACCACCATGTTGTATTCATGCCAGGACTTTATAATTAGAATGATTTTGTACTAATGTTGCCATCCACAGTTCCCCATTTCTTCAAAAAAAATAAATAAATAGATAAATAAAAATAAAATGAAAAATAAAAAAAACTAAAAACACTAAAAGAAGGTTTTAATCTTGTTATATATAGAAATTTTGAAGAAATGGGGAACTGTGGATGGCAAAATTAGTACAAAATCATTCTAATTATAAAGTCCTGGCATGAATACAACATGGTGGCTCAATTTTGAGAATTTTAAAAGCATATGAATTTAGTATATTGAATTCGAGAACTTACGAAAGTCGTTGAATATTTCCCATGCCTCACACAGGGGGAGGGGGGGGGGGAGATGGTCACTGGGTGTTTATAATTTTCGAGGAGGATCATATGTACGTGAACGCACGCACATAAAGTTAAAAAAATTAATCACCATTAATTTAGTAGGCCTACATTGACTTTCATATCTAAATAATAAAATATATTAGTTATCCCTCTCATACCATTTATTTCGATAATTGTCAATATTAAGGGGACCGTCCCGGAAAATGGCCACCTTTCCCTACTCTTTACATCATAAAAAAATATCGGTTAGAGATAACTGATTGATTCTTTTTGCATGATATAGAGTAAAGAATTGCGCTCTGTTATATATAGAAATTTTAACTTTGCTCCCCCATTGGGGGGTGCACCCCCCAAAAAGTCTAAAAAAATAGTTTTTTTTTTTGGTATGTCTTCGGTACATCCCAACTATCAGAGCTCTTTACAGAATATTCCCCAAAAAATACTTGTGTTAGATCAACTCTAGCCTATAGCCATGTAAAAGTCCGACTTTTGAATTTCCTTTTTTTTTTGGGCGGGGGACAGCTTGACAGAGAACTATTTTTTTTTTTTTCCAGCATTAAAATATTATTATTTTTTGATTAAGGCAAAAATTCAAAAATCGGCCTTTTACATGGCCTTAGGACGCCGAGGCTCTAGTGAAAGCAACAAACTGCATTTGGATCGCATGAAAATTACGTGAGTTGGGATGTACCGAAGATTCATAAAAAAATGACAGGGCTACGGCGTTTTGTATTTGGCACCTTGCCAAAGTTTGTTATCTGTTATTTTTCTCTGAATCTAATGATATTATATATAAAAAAATGCTTATTTAGTGTAATTTGCAATGCAATGATTACCAAGTCAATAGGAATTTTCATGTTCAATAGGGACACTATTCTGTAAAGGTATGTAATTTTATTTTTATTTTTTTTTTTCGTTGTTCATAAAAGTTGATATTTTCGTGTGAAAAGCTTAATAAATGCATTTTACCATAGAGACAATTAATCTAAACCAGATAAAAACCTTTTTTTATTTTTTTTATTTATTTTTTTATTTTTCATATTTTATTTTATTATTTTTTTTTTTTGAAGAAATGGGGAACTGTGGATGGCAACATTAGTACAAAATCATTCTAATTATAAAGTCCTGGCATGAATACAACATGGTGGTTCAATTTTGAGAATTTTAAAAGCATATGAATTTAGTACATTGAATTTGAGAACTTACGAAAGTCGTTGAATATTTCCCATGCCTCACAAAGGGGGGGGGGGAGATGGTCACTGGGTGTTTATAATTTTCGAGGAGGGTCATATGTACGTGAAGGCACGCACATAAAGTTAAAAAGATTAATCATCATAATTTAGTAGGCCTACATTGACTTTCATATTTAAATAATAAAATATATTAGTTATCCCTCTCATACCATTTTCTTCGATAATTGTCAATATTAAGGGATCTGTCTGTATACTGAGAACGAAGCACTAATGTTTGAAAATATCTGTATAGCCCCTTCCCCCTGAAAAAATGATCAAAATATTTCCATTTGACTTCAAACAACTGTTGGTAATTTCCAGCATCAGTAAGTTTGATTTGATTTGAAATTGGTCATTTCCACTGTCAAGAGCACTTCAATACAAAGGGCACCTAGAAGTCAGATCTTTGAACTTTGAAGATATAAGCAATATATCGATTATTTCATGTTGAAGATGACAGTTCACAGTAATACCTGCTCTGAAATAAAAACTATATGGAATTTTGAACTCGTTTGTATGTGCAGTCTTCATCTACAGTTGAAGCAGGTATCACATCTTTTTTGTGCATTTCCAATAAAATATATTACATATAGATATTACCATAGGTTTTAGGTACAATAAATTTACAAATATCCAACCACACCTAGGCATCTGATGATTTTATGCATAGGTGCATATGACTATACACCACCTATACACTTGTTTCTCATTGAAAACTGTTAAAGAAATGGTAAGATAGTGATAACTAATGTATTCTATTCCATTGCACAAAGTCGATGTAGGTCTACTAAATGATGATTAAAATGGTTAACCTTACGTGCGTGTGTTTACATAAATATGATCCTCCTTGAAAATTATAAACACCCAGTGACCATGGGAAAAATTCAACTACTTCAGTAAGTCTCAAATTCCATGTACTTCATACATAAGCCCATGCTTTTAAATTTCTCAAATTTGAACCACCATGTTGTATTCATGTTAGGACTTAATAACTAGGATGATTTTGTACTGATATTGCCATCCACAGTTCTCCATTTCTTCAAGATCAAATTAAGAAATAAAGCTTTTATCTGGTTTTGACTAGTTGTCTCTATGGTTTAATGCATTATTAAACTTTTTAGATAGAAATATCTATTTTTATATCAGAAGAAAAACAAACAAAACAACGTGACAGACCTTTACAGAATACTGTCCTTATTGAAAATGATAAATCCGATTGACTTGGTAATCATCGCATTACAAAGTACACTAAATAAGCTTTTTTATATATATAACATCATTAGATTTAGAAAAAAAATAACAGAGAAAATGAACTTTGGCAAGCATCCAAAATTCCCAATGGTTTTTCTCCAATCTTCTTTTACACAACCTTCGGTACACTAAGGGGTTGTAATTTTCATGTGATTCAAACGCAGTTTGTTGCTTTTGATAGAGCATTGGAATCCTGAGGCTGTGTAGATAACCAATATTTGAATTTTGGAATAAATCAAAAAATATAATTACATAAAACTGAAAAAAGGGACCTAAAAGAGTACTCTATGTCAACCAGTCCCCTCCCCCTGAAAAAAAGGAAATTAAAAAATCAGCTATCTACACAGCCTTAGTATTGGATAGATCTAACACAAGTATTCTTAGGGGATAAATCGAGAAAAAATAAAACCCCAGAAATGTATCGAAGACAGTACAAAAAAGAAAGAAAGAAGAAAAAAAAAATCACCTATGGGGAGGCGAGGTTAAAATTATATATGAGCCGAAGCGCAATTATATACTCTATATTATGCAAAACAATCCATGAGTTATCTCCACCCGATATTTTTTATGATGAAATGAGTAGAGGGAGGTAGGCGTTTTCCAGGACAATCCCCTTAATGTAGTCTTGAAGCTTTAAAGAAAAGGAGCTGTTAGATGCCTCCTGTCTTTTGGTAGTTAGTAAATCAGAGAACAACCATCAAATTGAGATACTGATACTGTGGCATTTTTAAAAGCTCCATAGCTTCTACAGTTAACAATAAAACTGTCCAAAGATCATTGATTTAAAATACCAAAGTTCTGTACCAAACTGATATCAAATTATCAACTATACAAAGG